GCGAACGACCTGCCTCTCTCACATAAAGCACCTAGACAAACCCCTCTACAATCTGACCCCCATCAACAGAGCCGATCCAGGACGAGGTAGTGACGAGATCTTGAATGAATCTCACCAAGTTAGTTGACAAGACAACTCACTGCCACTGTCGTCGTCGTCATCCTATTTGGTCGAGTCCAAAAGTACAAAGCTAGGCTATATGGATACAAAAGTGGTAATATCATTTAAGGTGGGGATTGATTGATTGATGTATATGATGAGAAAGGGAAACCATTTGGACGAGGCCACGTGCAATACCATCCAATGAACCCCGTTCATTTTGCCCAAATATAAAAGCTCACACTTAATGCCATTTCGGAGGGATGCAACTTGCAATGCAAGTTTAGACTCTAAGAGTTATATTCTTGCTACACACATTTTTTAGTTATTGACTCCCAAGCCGACCCTCTTTTTATTGATTGAAGGTTCACGTTCAAAACTCTCCCACACTCTAAATTATTTCTCTAACTGACTCGATCGTCAGAACGCGCGCGGCTAACTGCATCCCCTCCAGAGAAGGCTACGTGTAACTAATGATTTGCCCAATTGTGAATGAATTTAGCTTGCGTGGACATGAGGGGCCTTGTGATCTGTTGGCCACATCATTGATACGTTTTTTGGGCTCTCAAAGTTATATTCTTACTATACACATTTTTTAGTTATTGACACCCAAGCCGACCTACTTTTTATTGATTGGAGGGTCACATTTAAAACTCTCACACACTCTAAATTATTTCTCTAACTGACTCGACATTCGGAACGCGCGCAGCTAACTTCATCCTGTCCGGAGAAGGCTACGTGTAACTAACGGTTTGTCCAAGTGTGAAGGAATTCAGCTTGCGTGGACGTGCATCGGGATCTATTGGCCACATCATTTGTACATTTTTTGGGGTCAACAAGTTACACCTAATTTCAATGAAAATAACTATCGAAAAAATAAAAATGAACTTTCGCTCATTGCCTAACACAACTCACGCATTCGCCGCAGGAGCATTGACTTACATACCTAATTTTTAAGGTACAAAATTTAGGAGTGTCCCTTTTAATTAAGCAACACAAACAAAGATAAAAATAAAGTCATTATATATAATTGTTTGTGCGTTTTTTCCTAAATTTTTTGCCTTTGACTCGACAAAAGAGTTATCTTCTAAAAACACCCTTTAAATTGACAAAAGATATATAGATGATCTATTAAATGCAATAGGCTAAGCAACAATTAATTATACAATTTTGCTACACTTATATTTTGGTTTACATTCCACCATGTGACACACAATTCTACAATTAATTTGTCCAATACTTAAAATAATCAATATCTCGATTTTGACACCTATGAAATGTCATCAAAGATCTACACAAAGACTGTACATGTAGATTAATTTTTAATTATAACTCTGTGATCGCATCACTTGCAAACTTCAGAGCTGATTGTGCATCTTACAAACTTAAAGGGAAAAAAATCTAAGCATCATTTTGGCTATAAATTTATAAATGAATTGTTAATTCAATCAAGATTAAATATTAATTTTAATCACAAATTCATAATTGCTATTTTTTTACCTCTATTTCAGTGAAGCTCCAAGTACGTCCATAGTAGCTACATGGGAAACTAACCTGGTCCCACACTCTACATCATTCTACCTAAGTGGCATTTTTTGGTTTAACCCTATGAGGAGGCCGAACTCCTATGAAAAGGTCGAACTCATTTGCTAGAACGAACCCCATACGTAAGGTTGATCCCTCGTAGACGAGGTGATGTAGGTAGGGACCCTGCAGAGGATCTTTTGAACTGTATCTTCGACAAATGATTATGTGATAACTCACTGCTATATCCACCATATCAAGTCAACATGTCAAATTTAAGTCATATGCGTCAAATTTAGGACGGCGAAAATGTTATAACAATTGCACTTGATTGATTGATGCACATGATAGGATGCATTGGCCTTTTGGATGAGGCCACGTGCCTCCATATATAACGGCTATAAAAACTCATACTTTATGTCTTTATAAGATAATATATTTTTTTTTTTTTATTAACACTAAAGAATTTTTTAGTTAAAAAACTATTA